CTGCACCCTCAGGGCCATTTTCTTTTTGCTTTCTTTTCTTGTTTGTTTGTTTTCCAGACAGGGTTTCTCTATGTAACAGTGTTGGCTGTCCTGGAAGTCCCTTTGTAGACCAGACTGGCCTCAAACTCACAGATATTATCCACTCTGCCTCTGCCTCCCAAGTGCTACGATTAAAGGTGTGTGCCACCACTAGCTTTTGGTTTACTTTCTTTTTTTGTCTTTTGCTTTTCTTCATTTTTCTAGTATCAGTTTTGGCAAATGACATTTCTGATAGAAAATTTCAAACTCGTGGGTTTGAAGTAATTTAAAACATAGCTGGTCTGAGTTGGTAGTATGGCATTTTATTTTATTTTTAGAGGACTCTCACTGTGTAGTCCTGGCTGACCTGGAACTTGCTATGCAGAGCAGGCTTCTCAAACTCGCATAGATCCACCTGCCTTTGCATTTGTCCCTGAGCCTATGACACCATACCTGGCTTGATCATGGTTTCTTTTTTTGGTGGGGGAGAGGGGTGTTGAAGTAGGGTTTCTCTGTGTAGCTTTGTAGGCCAGGCTGGCCTTGAACTCACAGAAGTCTGCCTGCCTCTGCCTCCTAAGTGCTGGGATTAAAGGTGTGCACCACCAACACCTACCTTGGTCACGTTTTTTAAAGGATTGCTCTCTGAAGATTTTTAGCTATTGTATGATGTTTTGTGGAGAGTCATTTTTCTCTTCTTTGCTAATATTTTTCCATCTCTTTTTCATTTTTTCCTCTTTTTTTTCTATATTATTTAGGTTTCTATTGTTCTTTCTCACAACTTGTTTAGATACACTCATTAATCTTCAGTCTTCTTTTAGGAAGCACTGAGGCATTTCCTCACGTATTTTTATCATTACCTTACATATATTTTACCATTTCCTTATATATCTTTAATTAACTAGTTAAGTAATTAACTTTAATTGTATGGATATTTTGCCTGCATGTATGTATGTGCACCACATATGTGCCTGGTGCTCATGGAAACCCAAAGAGAACAGCAAATTCTCTGGAGCAGGCATTGTAGACAGTTGTGAGCTGCTGGGTGCTGGTAAGTATCGCGGTAAATAAGGATCAGGATAAACAAATAGGCCGAATAGATGTTTATTCAGGGAGAAATAACTTACAACCTAGACAGATGAACACCAGGAAATTCCACCAGCAAGAGAGCTTCTCCCCCCCACCCCTTCTGCTCTTCCTCTGACCTCCTTCCACAGGTCACTTCCGCCCATGGCTCCACCTCCCCAATGGGCTTGATCAGTGCCACAGAAGGACTGTCTCACTACAGGTAAGTTGTGGGTACTGACTGAACCCAGGTCCTCTGGAAAGGCAGCCATAATTCTTCAAAACGACATCTCTTGCATGTAGTGTTTTCATTATGGCCTTGATCTCTCTCTCTCTCTCTCTCTCTCTCTCTCTCTCTCTCTCTCTCTCACACACACACACACACACACACACACACACACACACAGAGGAAGGGTGTCTGTGGAGGCCAGAAAAGGTATCAGAGCTCCTAGAGTGGCAGGCAGTTGTGAGCTGTCTGACATGGGTTGGGAACCAAACTCCAATCCTCTGTAAGAACAGAAAGCACCCTGGAGTGCTGAGCCATCTCTTTAGACCCCTAAACAGAATTTTTAAAAGATCTTCATATGAAGGGAAAATGGATAAATTGGAGCTTACGAAAACCAAGAAATGTGTTTGAGATCCCAAGGATGAAGCAACCATCCTCTGAACCAGGTTTAAGCTGGGAACTAAGACAATAGAAATAACACCTCAAGGACAAATTTAAGATCCCACCATGTACCAGGAAGTGATGATGCATGCCTTTAATCCCAGTACTTGTAAGGCAGAGGCAGGCAGATCTCTGTGAGTTTGAGACCAACCTGGTCTACTGAGCTAGCTCCAGAACAGGCTCCAAAGCCACAGAGAAACCCTGTCTGGAAAAAAAAATTAAAAAAAAAAAAAAAAAAAAAAAAAAAGAAAGAAAGAAAAAAGAGAAAAACTCCCACCATGTAAGGTCCCACAGTATTAGGTCTCTAGGTTACATCTTGACTGGTAACAGAGTGCTTGTTTTTCAGGCATGCAGAATACAGGGTTACAGGGTCATGGAGGCTTACACCAGGATTTCAGAAAGCCAGTGAAGCTGGGTAATATGTAGCATGCTCAGCTTTCTCACGTGGATCCCATGAGTATGCTGTATGTAAAACCGTGAATAGGAAGCCCAAGTTGCAATCCAGATTCCAGGTATCTATCAACGGTTTCTATTGCTGTGAAGAGACACCACGACAATGGCAACTCTTATAAAGGAAAAACATTTAATTGAGGGGGTGGCTTACAGTTTCAGAGGTTTAGTCCATGATCTTCATGGTGGGGCATTGCGATGTCCAGGAAGACATGGTGCTGGAGAAGGAGCTGAGAGTTCTACATCTTTCAGGCAACAGGAAGTACTCTGAGACTCTGGGTGGTATCTTGAGCATATATGTGACCTCAAATCCTGCGTCCCACTGTGACACACTTCCTCCAACAAGACCACACCTCCTAATAGAGCTACTCTTTGGGAGCCATTTCTTTCAAATCACCACATCAGGCTATTGTAGGACGTGGTACATCTGCCAAGGAAAGCTACAGGTATTGAGCAGAGCCAGTTTAAGACAAAGCATATGGAGATCAGGGACACAATGTCATTGATTGAACATATAATTTCCATAAGCTCATGTGTTTAAACCCTTCATCCCTGGCTGGTGGCATTGTTGCAAGAGGCTGCTTCAACTACTGGACATAGGCCCTAGCTGGCGACATAGGACTGTAGGAGCACAACTAGCATGTTAGGATGCTACCTCATTCTGCCTGTTACGATGTGAGATGATCTATCCTGTCATGCATTCCTGGCCCACATGGATGGTAACCCCTCAAACCATGAGCCAAAAGAAATCCTCTCCCTTAATACACTGTTCCTCGATCTGCTGTCTGTGTCCTGGGCGGCCCTCCTATCTGCCATAGCCTGTCACAACCTCCTCTGTGCTCAAACCCACCCATTAAGCACAATCCACCTCTGTTCCAGCCACTGCTCATGATTCCCATTTGCCCCAAGGAAATGGGAGTGGGGAGAAGCAAGACTCAGGCATCTAAAGTCTCCTTGTGGGAATGACAGATAAAAGAAAGGAAGCATAGTTGTCCAGTAGTGAGGAGTTAGGAATAAGCCCCGCCCCCCACACTAATGAAACTGTCAGAAGGAGCTGGGACAGAAACCATGTGCTTAAATATAACCACTTCCCCTTTTAAAGGCATGGCCTCACTGTGTAGCTCTGGCTAGCTTGGAATGTTCAGAAATCCACCTGCCTCGGCCTCCTGAGTGCTGGGATTAAAGGGGTGTGCCACTATACAAAGCCACTTTATCTGCTCTTTACTCTCTTGCAAGCAGACCCAAGGGCCGTGGAAGTGAACATGGTAGGCTGATGTCTTAGTGCAAAGCTGAAAAGCTCATTGAGGAGCTAAAAGAATGAGAAGTTTATCACTTGCAGCAAGTAAGGAGTGCCCTGAGTTATTCACAGAGCAATGTCATCTGGGAGAAAAAGGAAACACCAGAAATTCTATACCTATCCAGAGAAGAAAGGCAATGCATAGGGCAGGCATACTTCTGAGCATGCTCAGTTTAAAGTCCCAGAAACCCACATTCCAACAGGAAAGATGGCTGACACATTACTGAGCATGCTCAGTTGCAAGTCCCAGACCATGTGTTCAAGAAAATATGGAAGATATGAATGCCACTGGGCATGTTCAGTTCAGTATTATAATCAGCCAAGTTTATTTCAGGTTGCCTAACAAGAATGAGTCATAGTGGCATAGTGATCTTAGATGTTCCTTATAAGTTTTTCCTAATAGTTTTTAGCTTAAATGAAAAGGATGACTTTGGAAATAAATTCAGTCATTTAAAGAGTAGCAGATTCTCCTCTTGAGTCAATGTAGGAGTTTGCCAAACTTAGCAGCGAACACCAGAGCTGATGGAGAGCTCAGGGCGGTTCAGACTGAGTCTGGGTGGTCAAAGGGTTGCTGAAGCCCAAAGCAGGTGGTACCCCTCCCGCAGATCAGCCACTAGACCTCAACCACTGACATTTCTTCCTGAGACCCTACTCCCAAAATGGGTCTTAGGTTTGTGGGGTTTTTTTTTTTTTTTTTGAATACTGATAACATGCGCCTTCCCCTATAAAAGCCAATGTCCAGAAATGGAATGTGTGAGTCCTCTTTCTTTGACTGGTTAGTTTGCAGGGTGAGGTCATAGGGTGCTCGGCCTGGGGGGGGGGAGGACACATCTCTAGCTGCTCTCTGGACAGTAGGGCTGGATGTTCTACCCATTTATTTTAGAAAACTCAGTTGAGGTCAGCTTCTCTGAGCCAGAGGAAGCTCCCCTTGGCCATCTGCAGTGGGCTGTAGGACTGCGTAGGTCAAGGTCGCTGGCTTTGCATCTTGCAACATACAATCTAGGGATCATTTTTAGCTCCATCCAGATTTGGGTATTTTAATTCTCTGTGCACTTTGCTCTCAGGAGACCTCATCTTTCTGTGGCTCTGTACAGAGCTCCACCTAAGGCAGAAGCTCATTCTACTGGCCCTAAAGTAGCCAGCTGGTGACTGAGTCAGGGGCCTTGGGAGGAACTTCTGACCCGGTTCCCACCCTACCACCTCCCAGCTTCCCAACGCTGACTTGGCTAACTGAGCTGGAGATCTTGCCAAAAACAGCTCTGAGGCTTGGGAGCCAAACACTGGGGCTGCTGGAGGACCCAGCTGGGTTCAGCTGCTTAGACTCACCAAAAAAAGAAAAAGAAAAAGAAAAAAAAAAAAAAAAAAAAAAAAAAAAAAAAGAGCAACAACATCATGGCCGGTGGGTGACTAATAGTGGCTGCTCCAGGTGTCACATCAGTTGTCAGGGTAGATGATGGAGCACTTACCCTGAGTTCTAAGGACATCTCCCTGGACATCCTCACTTACCTTCGAAGCTGGATGTAGGGCCCTTGCTGACTTTGTCATGGTGAAATCCACCTGCAGTGTGGCCAAGTTCAGATATGACAGCAGAGCATGCACTCTAAGGATAAACTTCTCTTCCTGCAGGGCAGAGAAGCTCCTAGTTTGACGAGGAATGACAGGTTGAATGCTTGAAAACCTGACAAAAGCGTGGAAACTGCAGTTTTTGGAGTCTGGAGAGTTGCCTCCGAGATCCAGCTAGCTGTGTGTCCTTACATGGGGTTTGTAAGCTGCTCTGGACCTTAGTTGGCTTTGTTTCTGATATGAGGGCACTATCTTTGCTACCAGGGCTACATGGAAAAGTCAGCAGCATCATTTTTTAACCCAACACCGGACAAATTATTCTTGGCTGACTCACACACTGCATGTCCTGCATGCTAGGTGCTGGTTTGTGTAGAATGGACTCTTTTAAGAAAAATAAATAAATAATAAACAAATAACATATGATACATTTACTTTCTTTTTTCTTTTCCTTCCTTCCTTCCTTCCTTTTTCTTGAGATAGGCTCTTGTTAGAAGCCCTGTTTAGCCCAGCTAGTTCCAGTGACAGCAGCCTTTGCCCGCAACAAACATTGTCATTGTTATAATGCTGTGGATTAGTTTCTTGTTGCTGGGACAAACACCTGCTAAGAAGCAACTCCAAGGAGGAAGGCTTTATTGGCTCACATCTCTGGGTTCAGAAAGTAGAGACAAGACAGGCAGTGAGCAGGGCTGTAGACCTTATAGTCAGCCCCAGAGAGACCCTCTTTCTGCACCTAGACTCTACACACGTGGACCTACAAAAGACATTTTACATTTAAGTCTTAGCACACTTCTTTCCTGGGGACCTTTTTTTCTCAGGGGCCACCAGCATTGATGTTGGAGACTTTCTTGGACATACTGGCCTGCAGGGCCCCACCCTGGTGCACATGGAGATATTTTCTGTCCTAATCTAATTCATTTCCACACACATGTAGCAGTGAGTTCCAACTCTCTGGGAATTTCTCAGCTGCCTGGAGAGCCTGCTCTCCCAATGTGGAAGTCAGCTGAGAGGGTGGGAGACCTCAATATTGTCTGATGTGATACACATTTATTGAGAACCGCTTGTGTGCCAAGGCCTCATGAAACTAAATGTGAGCAAAGAATAGGCTTTGCCCTTAAGGAATGTATAGGAGATGGGGTGGTGAGATGGCTCAGTGGGCAAAGGAGCTTGCTGCCAAAACTGAAAACCTAAATTCAGTCTCCACACTGTGAAAGGAGAGAACTGACTGTAAGTTTCCCTCTATGCATGTACTGTGGCACCTGTCCCGTACACAGAGAACTGTAAAATAATAAAATAATATGTTAAGAGAGGGAAGGGCTTTGGATGGCACAATATTGGCCTACTGTTCTCAAAGCTCTGGGTTCTTTCTGTATGACTAATGGTAAAGATGGATTAAAGACACATATACCAATGAAACCGCAGCAACAAAACAAAACAGAAATGTGCGAGAGGTGGGTGTGGTGTTGTCCTGTTTGTAGTTCCAGCTTCCCAGGAAGCTGAGGCAGGAGGAACTCTTATGTGCAGGAGTCTGCAAGCTAGCCTAGAAGAGAAGGGAAAAAGGGGAGAAAAGCATAAGACATTCTTTAAGCGAGGTGTGTTCTGCAAGTCTGTAATGCCAGGTTGAGTTAGCAAGATCTTAAACTCAGGGCCAACCCTGGCTACACAGGGAAAGGAGACTTATCTCAAAAACAGACGGGAACAGTAGCCTCCTTGCCTAGCAGAACTTCTTGTAGGGATAATGTTAGGTGTCATATACAAATGTAAGGCTATCTGTCTCTTGCTAGGTCCCAAACAGGTCATGTTTAAGTTCCTAGAACCACCTTCCTACTATGTAAATGGGGAGCAGAGTGGGAAGGACTAGTGTCTACTGTGGATACTACAGTACTTTACTGTAGTCCCAGGTACATAGTGGATGCTCAATAAGCATTCCTGTCCTCTAAGATGGTGGGATGTTGGGTAGAAGGGCTTACCTCTTAAAGGACACATAAGTGACAACTTGGGACCTCTGACGTTTGAGATGAGGTTTGCAAAAGCTCTGACCAAATTGAAAGCAAAAATTTCCAGGTATCTTTATGACTCAGCTTGACAGGGCAGTTCATCCTGGAAATGACCGAATGTCACCTCCAGCCAGACTGCTCCTGAACGTTGCCACAAGGAGGGCTTCTCAGTCATTCAAGGGCTTTCAGTTTCTAAGACTAAAGAGGAAGCTGAGACCCCAGTGTCATTCAATCTGATGGCTTCTGTTCCCTGGTTCTCATAGAGCTTCTACACTGATGGCTGGAGGGACACCCCCCCCCCCCGCCCGCCCTTCTTCCTTTAAAACTTTATTTTCGACAAGATCTCACTTTGTAGCCCTTACCAGCATAGTCTATATAGCAAGTTCCTGGCCTGGAACTCACAGAGACCAGCTTGCCTCTGCTCGCTAAGCACTGATAGATAATAATGTGTATGCCACCACACCTGGCCTCTGTCCTTTCTGGACAGCAGGTGGCATATCTAATCTCATCTTGACAAAGCTCTGCGTTCCATGCCAAACACCCTATAAAATGGCCATGGTGGTACATTCCTATAATCCTGTATTTGGGAGGCGGAGGCAGGAGGATCAGAAGTCACCCCTTTCCCACTGAGCCTGGTCACTACTGCATCTGGTGCAGTGCAGTCATTTTGTGACTAAGAGTGGACAAGCCTGAAGATGAGACTAAGCACCAAGTACAGCAGTGTGGAAGGAGAGCTTACAAACATAACATGTAAGTGGTTTTATGCATCTACATGAAATCTGGGATCAACAGTTGAGGGGACATTTGCCATTTGTCCTTTTGAGTCCCTTTTTATGGTGATCTCCAGTTCTTGCAGTTTTCCCACAAACGGTATGAACACTTTCTTCTTCGTGGCTGAATGATCCCCCACCTTCCCTAACTAATCTGCTGATGAACATGAAGGCTGATTCCTAATGAGTGGAATCCTTTTCAGGTGGCAGAGTCATCAGGTCAAGAACTGACTTGCTTTTATATTTTTCTTTTCTTTTTTTCTTTTTTTTTTAGTTTGTTGATTTGTTTGTTTATGTATTGAGTGTGTGGGGAGTGATGTGCGGGCACACTGGGGACAACTTCCCGCCTTCTGCCATGGGGACTGTGGGATTGGAACTCAGGTTGTCAGGATTTGGGACTAGTCATTCACCTTGCTGGTCATCTTAACACTCTGGAATTCCTTTTTATGAGATGTTATTTAATGTAAAAAACAAAATTGGCTACAGGTATCCTAATTGCTCTAGAAAAAGGGGCAAATATGGAGGCCTGACCCTTCTTAGCTGCAGGGTGCCACTATGGCATCTGAAAGGGCACCAGGACTGCAAGAAAAACTTGTGGGAAACAGGGCTGAGGTCTCCAGGAAGTGCCAGGAGGCTCTGATTTTTGCTTTATTGTTGTTCACTGGCCTCTGGGGAGGAGGATACCCACGTCCCAAGCACAGACCTTACAGTTTCTGAGGCAGAAATCACAGAACCAGAGCTGGGAAGGACAGCTGAACTTTTGGGCCTCACGCCCACAGGGACAAGGAGAATTCCTTTCTCTGAGCCCCCCAATATGGAGCAACTGTGTCATGCAACATTTATACACAGGGTGCAAACAACGTTGTTTCTAACTGACCTCATGGCCCAGCTGCTCTCCAGGGATGTCCTCCATTCTGTAATACAAGACAAGTCACTGTGGTTAGCTGAACCCAGCCGGGTCTCCTAGATACGGACATTAGACAGTTGCCAAAAATGTGCGGAGGAAACGCTGGGGAGAACAAGGAGGAGGATGTGGAAAAAGGCCACGAGGCACAAATCTCTCCCTGTCCTCTGGATGCTCATGGAGTTCTGCCTGGGCCACTGGGGCTCAGCTGTGCTCCAGGTCAGGCCTTGGAGATTGGGATGGCTGGGTAGCCAAGATGAGTGACAGGTCACAACACAGCATTTGTTCTCAGTCCTAATTGGCCCCAATTTTAAAGGCCTTGTTTAGTAGAGCTGTAATCCTTAAATTTGAGCAAACATCAGAATCTCCCATAGGCATTAGCTAGGCTGGAGGGCTGTGAGGCAGGAGGATGGGGGACAAGGGGTCTGGTCTTTATCCTAAGCCTGACAAAAGCTTTGGAGGTCTGACTAGCAGAGAGAGCTACACAATGTGAGGGGCTGTCTCTTCTGGATATAGCTGGAGAAGATTCCAGGGAATCAGAGGGGAGATACGTTAGAATCACAGTGTGGTGCTGTTCAGGAGCAGCATGCTATATTCTGGGTGCTGTGGGTATGAGTGAGTGTATCTTATAAAGAGGATACTGTATTGGGAAGTACTTTGGAGTCTGCTCTGAATTTAGAGGGGACCTGGGAGCCCAGCTGCCTGGTATCCTGATTGTCTAGGTGGATAATGGTGGCTCGCACTGAGTCCTAGTGGGCTCTTTCCTTCTCTTGAGAACTTCAGAGCCACTGGTTGCATCCCCTTTCTGTGTTTGGGGGTTTTCACCTCCTCTAGGTTGTAATCAGACAAATCATGTCTGCAATAGCAGCTGATAGTCAACAAACCACAGCTACCTGATCAACCTTGAGCCAGCTACTCTTCGCCCTGGACCATAAGCCGAAGGGAAGGAAGTGTGGAGCTCACTCCTTGGAGGCTCTTTTTCCACAGAGGAGGAATGGGGAACTCAGCAGGGGGTCTGTCCCCCCAACTGAATGAGTTGTGTGACCTCAGTTGTCTAGCAGTAAAACAGAGGGAAATATTGAGCTGGAGACTGGCCTCTGTAGACCCTAACCTTGGGGATTTGGGCTGCTCAGAAGAGCTCAAGCTGAAGGTTGGGCACATCTTCAGTCCACTCCTCACACTCGCTGCAGTGTAACCTCTCAGCACTACACGCCCCCCCCCCTTCTGGGTGACTGGATTACAGCATCTAGCTAGTGCTGCCTTCCCTTCTATGTGGGACACTCCAGGCAGGCTAGTCCACCTCCTCCCTATGCATCACCCTCATCCCTCCCAGCCAGGACATGTCCTTCATTCCATCTGGCTTCCCTATCTTCTCCAGGCTCCTCTTCCTCCTAGACATCCCCTTGTCCTTGCTAGCCACCCTGCTCCTCTATTCACTGGCAATTTCTCCAGTCTTCTCTCACCTGGCACAAAGTTTAATGGAACATGAGCCTTCTTTCCTGACTGTTCCCTGGTGACAAATGTGACACCTTCCAGCATCTTCCTCCCTGGGACCTTGCACTGAGCATTGGATAAGTGTAGGAAGGTCATTGCCCAGAGTGTGCTACCCACCCTCCCCACCAAGCCACTGTCCCTTGCACAGACCCAAGGCACAGCTTGGGCAACCCAGGACTTGCCTCTCTGGGCTATGGCCATGGGTTTCTTCACGTGGCCCTGTTCACATCTAGAAGCAGGCTACTCAGACACTTCCTTACCTTTTGTCCCCACCATCCTCACCCTAACAAAGCCTTTCTCAGTGGAAAAGGACCTGGACACATAATCCTTGGCCAATACAAGCAACTACTGTAGCCTTGGGGAAGGGGGTGGGGGCAGAGAAATAGGATGAGGTTTTGATTTCTCTTTGCCAAGGCTGGCTCCAGGGAAGGCCCCAGCCCACAGCTCATGACTCAGACACTGGGGCCACAGCTGTAGTTTGTGCTCTGCTAGGGAGCAGGAAGAGGAGGTGGGGTGGTGTCAGGGTGCCTGGGCTTTCTAGAGGGATCTTTTGGGATGGTTTGTGAGCTACTCTTATGTCACTTTGTCTCATCTGTTCCCGCTTTACAGCTTGGAAGACTGAGGCTCTGGGAAGGCAAGCCATTATCTTAGAATCATTTAGTAGATTTGCAGAGTTCTGGAGCTGAAACCTTGTAGCCTTCAGCCTGGTCATCTCCTTGACCCTCCTTCAACCCTGGGCTACTTCCTGCCCCCACCAACTTCACACATAGTCCTCCTGCCTTGTCTTGACCTCACTGGTCTTAATGAGAAAGAAACACTGCACATTCGATTTGTTTGGTGGTTGGTGTCATTTGTAACCGAGTGCTTCAATATTACTTGGAATAGTCAGAAATGAGCTGGCCTCCCCAAACCTCAGCGTCATTTCACAGCTTAACACAGTTAAACACAACAATAGAACAATAAAAATAGCAAAGCCAACCCGATCCTCCTTTCTCTAAGTTTACACCTGTGAGTAGTTTGAATTATAGTCTAATTTCAAATTATTAAGAACATACTTGGAAAATGAAACAAGAACACGGAGTTTTCTGATGGGCTGTGAGCCCTGACTATGGAACTGGTCTCAACAAGTCACCAAGCCAGCATCTGTTGTTCCTGTGAGATGCTCTGTTCTTTGATCTGCGGGCTACAGTGTGCGTTCCTGTGCCAGAGGTGGACATGCTGGGTGTTCATCGTTTATTGTGTGTCTGCCACAGATGAGGAAACAGGCTTAGCGCTGGGATTTCCATTTGGGCAGTTGGGCTGTATGGTTCTTCACTTTCTTGTGCCCTGCTTTCGATTAGGACACAACAGGGGAAGTACCCTAGGATCCATGGCGCTGTCATTTACAAAGTGGGAAGACCTAAGGGGTCAAGAGCTAGTAAGGAATCCCAGGGGAGAGGGACTCCCTATCCTCTCCCTCAAAATGCTGTGGGGCACCCCTAAGAGCCATGGCTCTGGAGGATTCACAGAGCGGCCATGGGAAGCTGTTCAGGCCGTCGCTCCGGAAAGTTCTGGCGTCTGAAGGGACGATCGCCCCGCGCTCCAGGAGCCCCCGCGCGAGCTCCGCGTGGCACTTCCGATCCGGGCCGCACGCTGTGGCTCGCCAGGCCCGCCCCCGCCCCCGGCGCCCGCGCCCCCCGCCTGAGCCGCGCGGCCCGCCCTGCCCGTGTACCCGCCCCGCGCCCCTAGTCGGTCTCGCCGAGTCCTGGCCGCTCCGGACAGCACGGGCGGACAGAGTGGCTGCAGCTGGAGCCAGCAGTGCGGGCGGGAGCGGGCGGGCAGGAGGCGGAGGCTGCCTGCTGGTCTGCGATCCGGCAGTCCCGGGACTCGGGCGCCTGCCCGTCGCAGTCCCCGTGCGGCCACATGGCTCGGCTCTGCGCGCTGCTGCCCTGCCTGCTACTTTGGTACTGCACTCTCTGCGCCGCCGTGGGCAGTCAGACCCCAGGTGCGTGCGGGCTGGTTGCGCGTGGTCGTGGGGTCTCTGGGGTGCTAGCAGTCAGAGTGGCCCCAGGATGCAGGAGCCAGCCTGGCAAGGTTCGAGGGAGGTGGAAGACTGTGTGCCTGGTACAGACTGAGTTGCTTCATTTTGGCTGCTTTTAGCGATTTCTGTCCCTTTCTATCACTGGAGAAGTGACCTGCAGGAGAGGATTGGGAACAGGAGTCTCTTTCTGTGAGAAAAAGTCAGTGAGCCCATCCTCCTCCTTTCTTCCCCCACTTCTCTTGATCTTTTAATGCCTTGTGTCCAACTTGGGTGGCAGGTATGGAATTGTGTGCACGTGCGTGTCTCAGTGTGCATGTCTGGTTGTCCCACACGGAATCAGGCTGGCAGGTGATAGCTTCCCATAGCAGAAAACCATGGGCACTGTTGCATCTGACTATTCTGACCAGAAAAGAAGTGTATTCCCCGTTCCCTCCAAGCCTCCATGCAGCATCCTCAGACACTGTAGGTCATCTCTCAGGCATAGACCAGAGACATACCACATACATTTTACAGCTTTTAGGCATAAGAAAAGGTTCTGTCATTTCTGGCCAGGGCTTATGTGCCCAAGTGAACCCTGCTTTGCACAGTCTTGGGTTCCTTTTCTGTCACAGCTAAAAGACAAAGGAATGCCACTCTCCTGCCAGCCATCATTTGCAATTGCCCCCAGGGGATTCCCCCCACCCTCTCTCTCTCTCTCTCTCTCTCTCTCTCTCTCTCTCTCTCTCTCTCTGTGTGTGTGTGTGTGTGTGTGTGTGTGTGTGTGTGTGTTTTATCAGTGCTGTGAGTTTGGGAGGCCAGGATAGGACTATGGAGAAGTGGAAATAACTTCCAACTTGTATCCATGAATCACCAGGCCTGGGAGCCAGTGAGCTGTCATTCCCGCCTGGCTGTGCACAGTGAGAGAGATGTGTGAGGATGGGACCCACTGCCTGGCAAATGGCCTACAGCATGGGCCATGACCTCACACTTCAGTCAGCCCAAGTGGGCAGGTCACCCCCCTGTGTCTCTTTTTATTTTTGAAGCTCTATATTTATCCTGCTTGGGGCTGGGCAGCACAGAAGTTTCAGCTACTGCTTTGTTTTAAAAAGTTTGCTGTCTAACCTCTGAAAAGCATATAACCGTGCATTCCCTTTGCTCTCTCCTCCAGCCCCTCCTTCCTCTGTGTCAAGGGCTAGGGTCCTCTGGGTATCTAGGTGTTTGTTTTGGCAGCTGCATTCTTGGGAGCTTGGCGAGGCCTCTACCCCAGGCTGGTGACCTCAGTATACTGGGGGAATTGAGGCAGATCTGGAATTTCAGCCTTTGCTAAGCAGTACTCAAGGTTGGAAGGCTTGTTGCTATGGTGATGGGACTCTGTTTGACATCATTTATTTACTTCTGCTAAATATAAAAAGAAAGACTGGAAAGCTACAGTGAGAATGTACATTCACAAATTTATGTCTACCTGAATTGCCATTCAACAAAGTACAGCGTGACTATGTAGGCTCAGGAAGTAATGGGGAGAAAATGAATGAACTTAGGCTAAGGGATCTATGATAATAAATGATGCTCAGGGCTGCCTCTCTATCTCCCCCTCTCCACAGGGGATTCCCAGAGTCCTCTTACCTTTGTACAGTGTACAGTGAAGTGACTGTGTTTACCTCCAACAGACCTGCACCTCTCTGGGAAACTCCGTGACTACGTTGTGACTGTTCCCTACAGCACAGATTTTCGGGGGCGCTTCTTGTCCCATGTGGTTTCTGCCCCTACAGCAGCCTCTTCACATAGCCACCTCCGCGTGGCTCGAAGCCCCCCAAGACTGGAAAGAGAGACTCTGAGGCCTGGTGGTCCAAGGCATGGCTTCCTCTACTTCAATGTGACTGTCTTTGGGAAGCTGCTTCACTTGAGCCTGCAGCTCAACCGGAGGTTGGTGGCACCGGGGGCCCCAGTGGAGTGGCAAGAGGACTTCCAGGAACTGTTGCGACAACCCTTGCAGCAGGAGTGTGTGTACACTGGAGGTGTCACTGGAATGCCTGGGGCAGCTGTTGCCATTAGCAACTGTGATGGATTGGTAAGGGAACTTCCTCTCCTGTTGAGCATTGAATTCCTTTCATGGCCCTCAGTGGCCCCCACCCTCACCCCAAGGTTTGGGATTCCCAAGGACACAGTATGCAGCACAACGCCACCATCATGCTCTTCCTGGCTGCCAGGCTATGCCAGGTGTGAGGTGGCCATAGTGGGATAGTACCTTTTTAAATGTTTTTAGTCACCAAGAAGCTACCTGGTGGGACTTCTGGGCTCAGACTAAAACAGGGCTGAGGAAGACATAGTCAAGGCAGCAGTTCTCAACCTATGAGTCATGACCTCTTTGGGGGGTCAAATGATCCTTTCACAGGAGTCACCTAAGACCATCTGCATATCAGATATTTACATTATGATTGATAACAGCAAAATCACAATTATGAAGTAGCAATGAAAATAATTTTATGGTTGGGGGTCACAGCGCAATGTATGGAACTGTATTAAAGGGTGGCAGTGTTAGGAAGGTTGAGAACCACTGTTGATGGGTGTGCTGATAGCAGATTTGGATGCTAATCTTTCTATTCTTCTTTCCCTCAGGCTTAAAATGGGGACTTATTTATTTACGCATTGAGACAAGGTAGCCCTCCAACTTGAGATCCCCCTGCCTCTGCCTCTTAGAGCTGAGATTATAGGCTCAGATCCCTACATCCCAGCAGGATTTGTTTATCCATTCTGCATGTGGTTACTATTCTAGATGCTGGGGATGCAACCTGGCCCCTGCCCTGTGCAAAACTGGTGTGATACTAATACTGTGTGACCCCGCTTCCCAGCCATGATCAGATGAGGGCAGTCACACTGGCTGTGTCACATCTTTTCCTCTTCTCCATGCCTCCTCTCTGCGTTCTCTGCTTTTTACTGACTGCTCCACCTGGTCCCTCATCCCCTGGATGGTGGGAATACTCTTACTGTTCACCTCTCTCTTTCAAAACATACACATGCACATGTATAAGCATGCAGTGTGTGTGGGGTGAATGCCTGTGTTTGTACACATTCCCCTGTGTACCAGTGTGTGGCAGCCAGAGGTCAGCCTCTCTCCTCTTTTCCTTAGTTTCTGGGATAATCTCTCATTGAAGCTGGAGCTTGTTGGTTTGGCTAGGCTGGCCAGCTGACCAGTGAAACCCTAGGATTCAAGGGTACCGCCACACCTGACTTTCACTGGGGATCAGAACTTTGGCCCTCATGCTTACATAGCAAACACTTTTTGAGCCATTCTCCTAGCCTCTGTGCTTTGACTATACTTTTTCTCCTTTCCCCAAACGATTTTCATGCCATTGTAGGCAATAGAGTCAGTCACCACTGAGAGACGTGGTCTAGGCAGTGAATGGTTCTTAAGGTTTAGGATGGGCAGTTGAGTGCCTTGCCAGAAGTGCAATGTCTCCCTCTCCTGGGGGTGGGCCCTAGGATCTGTATTGCCAACCAGACTCTCCAAGTGATCTGGTGCAAGGATTATCCATAGGTAGACATTGAGAAACCCAGGTTGTGGGGTCAGTGGGAGATATACGCACTTGTCCACATAATGGTGGGTACTGAGTCTGTATGAATGCCCACCTGGATCGAGGAATGGGGCGATCTTTGTCTGTGCATCTTGGACCTCAACTAAGGTATGAATGGGGTGAGCAGCGCCATTCAGACATCAAGAACTGTCCTTGTCACTGAACCAGTTCATCGGTCTCATGACAAGTGGCTATCTGCTAGATGCGGCAGGGCCCAGGGCCATATGTGACCCTGACATAGTACCTAGTGAGGTGTACCTTATATGGCCACATGGTGCAGTGTGTTTGATGTCACTTGTGCCTGGTGGCTGGGGCTGGTGGATGGTAGGGTTGATGGGTGGGCCTGAAGCTGGACATGCCTGGAATAGTGTTGCTGATTGCTATGGCCTCTGTGTAAATGTTCCCACGGTGGCTATGACACCGTGGATAAGTAATTTCCCATCTCTAGGATTTGCACTTGAATTTTTTATTACATGTATTTATTTGCTGTGTCTGTCCCCAACCATATGCATGAATTAACTGCAGTGCATGATATATTCTCCCCAGGTGCTCACTGGGCTGGATGGTAGAGTGAGGCAGAGAGAGATGAGGGTCACTGCCTCTGGTGCAGGTCACAGTTCAGATGAAAATGAAGCCCCTGCTTCGTCCTTTCACAAAACAGTGAATTGGCTGAGGGTCTGTCCATACAGGCCTGTTCTTACAACAAAAGGAGTGTTAGATATGGAGGGTCAAACTCAGGATGGGTCTTGCTGTTCTCTGAATAGTCCAGCCCAGACCTTGCACATTTCTGGTCTTGTGCTCCAATTAACGATGGGGAGGAGTCCACTATGGGTTTCCAGAGTCTGGCTTTGAACACCCCAGCATGCCCTGCCTGGTCATGAAACAGTAATGCTGAGTTAAATGGGGCTCAGGGGAGGAGGTACCATTGCCTCAGAACTGCCCAAACATCACCAACAGGAATGCTTGTGCTGGGCTCTTGACAGCAGAGTGAAGGACTGACTCAGGAAGGCCTGAGAATGTTTAGGTACCAAACAAGGGGTGTAGAAAGCTCAGCTTGCCTTCTGGGAAGTGCCTGTGATACTTTCAGGCCCAAGGGTCAAGATTGGGAATGCATTCAGGTGACTGCAAGTGGCCCAATGTGTTGCTTATCATAGTTACCGATGTTCTGTACATGGGGTTTGGGTAGAGCTCAGTTCTCTGTGGGTGCTGGAGGGGCTGCAGGGTTTGGAACGGGGTCTCTGTTTCTTGGTCAGGGCTGTCTCCTCACTGAGTCGACATAGAGTCCACACTATCCACTGTCTCCCTGGGTCCTGGGCCTCAAGGCCGTGTGCTGGGCTTGTAAGGGAACTGGCTACCCATTGCTCCCCCTCTGCCTTCAGTGCCTCTGTGAGTCAAGGTCTGGTGCAGAAGTGGCCACACGTTTAAGATTTGTCACATCTGGTTCTGTTTTCCCACTTTGAAAATGCTTCAGTTTTAGCAGCATAGGGTGGGGTTGGGAAGGGGCCCTAAAGGCAGGATCCAGCCCTCCTTTTTCTCCCACCCCTAGGTCCCAGCAACCTTTGAACTAGAGTCCTTTCACTTTTAAAAATGGGGCTGCAGTGGGCTGGGGAGAGGGCTTAGTCTTTAGTTAGGGGTTTGCTAGACAAACATTGAGGACCTGAGTTTGGGTCCTTAGAGTCTCCCTAAAAAGCTAGGTATTGTAGTGTACACCTGTGATCCTGGTGCCAGGATGTTGAGACTCTGAACTGATGAGCAGGCTTAGTGAGTAAAGATGCTAGTCTTCACACACACACATATATGTACCTATGATACATCACACACACACACACACACACACACACACACACACACACACACACACACACACACCTGCAGTGGCAAACACCTTGGGGAGAAGAAAGGGCTGGGAAATGAAGGCTGCAGCTGTGGGCACATAACCGTGCCTATGTGCCTATCTGGAAAAATAGTAAGTCATGAAAGCTGCACTTTTCATGGTACTGTGCACATGTGTGAACTGTATTTTAATCAGGTAATTATGAAAAGTGCCTGGCCTATGGAAAGGCCTGCAAAGGCCTTGCTAGTAGTCACCGTGAAATGGGAAGAGTAGTCTTTTCCACTCTGGTGCCAATTGGCTGTGAGGCCTGGGCCTTTACGGAGTTTCTAATGCTCTTTGGATTTAGGGTCCTCATGATTTGAGTTTATGGTGGGGTCTTGAAAAGTGGGACTCAGTCCAGTGGTTTATTTTAGTGGCCACCTAAGCCACCTGGCCCCTCAGGGTGGCTGGGCCATCCACCCACCCACACAATGGTAGCTTTGTGTGTGTGCACACACTTGTGCACAATGGTTGCCCAGCTCAAGGGATAATGACATCACTCAGACAGTCCCAGGCAAGGGAACATTCCAAGGTGCATCACTCTTAATGGTCTAGGGTCTTGCACAGAGCCAGGCTCTGGCAAGGTTCTGGGGCTTCAGAGTCGATGCTAGACCTATTATACTATTTAAAACAAATTGCACTCAACTCCAGGGACTGCACTGGGAAGGAGGGAGCAGAGGTACAAGGGTGCAGGGGATTGGAACACATTTCAAAGAATGAATTGCAGGCATTGCACAAGGAAAGGAGAGATGGGAAGGAAAGAGGGTTGCCAGTCCTTTTATAAGGAGGCTAATCTCATTTCTGGGGGCTCCATGCCCATGACTTAATATCTAAATGCCCTACCTTTTAGACAGTCACATTTGTGACAAGATTTCAATACCCAGGTACTGGAGAGTACATTCACTCCACACTAGTAGGATGTGCAGTGTGTATTTGGGATGAGGAACTGGTCTACTTAAGGTGAACTTCCAACTCTGCCTTATACGTGTGGCATGACCATAGACAATTCCCTAATCTGTCTGTTTCTCGTTTTTCTTATCTTGAAAGCATCATCGCCATTAGTTCCTAGACTTGTCAGTGTGCAAAGGGCCCTTAAAGACCTGTCAGCTATGACCATCTGCTGATGTGGCTTTGTCACCTGCATCTCCTAGTCTGAGATGGTGGCAGGCAGGACGAAGTCAAGGGCATTGTATTTTGTCTGAAGGCTACCCAGGGGGTCTCTGGGCTTCATCTGGTAGTCAGAGCCCATGCTGGTCTAGCCTCACCCACATCCCCTCCTGGTGGTTCTTATTCTGATTGTCTTCTGGGCCTTCTCTTGAGGCTGCTCTCAGCGGCTGGGGGGGCTGGCTGGAAGGTCCCCTCTGGCCTCATCCTCATGCCAATGTGGTGCTGGCTATAAGTTAGACGGCCTGAGTTCTCCTGCTGTGGCCTCTCTTCCTCTAGCAGACAGTTTGGCTATTTCCCCACAGTCTCCAGGCATCATTCCAAGATGGGGGAAGGCAGAAGTCATGTGGCCTCTTAAGGTCCAGCCTGGGAAGCCTTGAGATGTTCTTTGTATTGTCCAAGTCACACTATAAGGCCAGAGGAGATTTTCGCAGGTAAGGACATGGACTCTGTCTCTCA